TTGAAAAATGGTTGCATGGCTGTGTTATCAAGTGATATGGCTGAAGTTTGGACCATTGTGAGCTCTTTCTGTCAGGGGGAGACAGTGAGAATTTGCTCTGCTGTTTCTTTACAAAACATAAGGGTATCATGACTTGCACAACAAGAAGTGGGGCAATATTATTTACCTTAATGCCCCCAGACAGTCAGTAACCCAGAACGAGGCACTCCCAGGTCAGGTAAGCAGCTGGCCAGCGGCATTTTCTCTCAAGCAGCGCTAAAATTTCCCTCCGTGCACTGAGGAAGGCTTGGATTTTTGCAGAGTGAAACGGGTTCAAGGGAAGCTCTTCTTGTTTCAGCTAAACAGTTTCTTACTATTTCCTGAAATTGCAGAATTCTGGCTACCTCAAAAGATGAAATCCTTCCTCATTCACCCTTACCGGGTAACCTCCTAGGCCCATGCATTTTACACTACTCCTTCTCCCCCTGCAAATTAGAAGGCAACTGTAATTACTTCAAGATTTATCCTGCCTTGATGGCAGGCTGTTTTTGCGCTATCAGTCAGAAGCGAGCTTTGCTTTCACCCAACCTTCCTGGAATGGTTCCCTCTCTCCCAGGGGAAGCTGCAGCCACTGGTGCTGGGAAGGACCGCAGCCGAGTTTGTGCCCTGCTCCCTTCCCACCACACCTGCCTTGGCCTGGTCCCACTCCCAGATTTGCAGCCTCGAAAAGGGCTTTGTTGGCTGCAAATGTTGTCTCTTTGTTGGAGATGCATCTCTGGCTGAGCGGTTCTCTCATTCGCTCATGTCGTGGGCACGCAGCTCGGACGCTGCCCTCATGGATACCCAAAAACTCTCAGTCATACTTCGGATTTGAATCTTATTTTTTTTTCTGCCTGTGATGCACGCGACATACTAAATCTGCTGTAAATGAATTCACTAGAACGTGGTTGTCCAGCTGGTTCATTTCTTACTGTACCTGGTATCAAATTGCTTCCTGAAATAATCCTGTGGATGATAATAGGATTGGCACCCACTTTCTTTGACTGCAGTCAAAGCAAAGCGCAAGTCATATGGGCACTTCTGGTCTTCTGAGGATATTCCTTTTTATCAGAAACACCTAACAGAAGCTTTCTCATAGACTTGCTAAGATTTTTGTAATTTCAGTCTGTCCTTGCATTTTAAAACCATGACACAGCCTCAGGATTTTATTATCTTTTAAATAAATCCAGTATAACCAGTTGGGATTTCTACCAATAGCTAAAAGGATTTTTTCCCCCCCCAAATCTACAAGAAGTTTTCTTTAAACTTCAACTTTTCTCTTAGACAAAAAAGAAACCAAACCCAACAACAGTAAAAAACACCCTTTTCCTATGCTATTCTAAGGGGATATATGTGACAAGGTCAGTTACTTGGTAGTTGCTTCCTGCAACTATACCGCTGAAAGACAAGGGACATTTACATGTCTGCAAAACAGACAAAAGAGGCAATAGACTCTTTTTCTTTTTCCCTGAGCACATTTATTCCTTTCAGCAGCCAACACCTTTCCTTCATGCTTAGAGCAATGTTTGAAATTAGTTTCTCAATAAGCCAATAATTTGGAGAGACTATCAGCAGTGCAGAGATTTTACCCAAGACAGATTCCAAAAGCAAAAGGTTTCTGTTCTAAGCGTGCAGATGGGAAACCTGCCAAGAGCCCTTTGTCAAGGAATCTTTGATGAGGACCATGAAGCGAATTGACCACATTGATGGAGCCAGAAATTCCTACGATAATCCAAAAATTTATTTCCAAAGAACTTAGTTTTTCATAATTGGCCGTTACCCACTCAATTTCTCTGCATTCATTAGCTGCTGGTGGCCCTGAAGTGTAAGCATTAATCAAGAGGCTTTTCAGTTCTGCAAATACTAAGTCATTGAGATGGCCATTACAGTTTCCTCTTCTCCTGCATCATTGCCAAAATACTGCCGGACCTAGAAGTGGTTGTCCCTCATAGCAACACAGACTTCACAAATTCTCAAAACCTGTGTGTGTCTGGTAGATGATCAGTTACCCAACAATTCACTCTTCTTTTTGTCACTGAAAGTTCCCCCTCTTGACAGAGCCAAAAGTAAATGTTCTCTTTGAAAGACAACGTTACCTTCATTTTTAATTTCAATCTGGCTGCTTTAGCTCAGTGAAGGCTATCAGATGGTGACATCAATTCAGTGGTGGGAAATGCCATTTTTTTGCCATATTCTCATAATAAAGGGTTTTCACAAGGAAAATGGTTTTTATAAACTGAAAATTATAGCTCTAGACTGATGGTAGTTCTCAAAACTAGAGGCTTTCCTGGATGCCTCTGAAGCTATGCACTCATTTTGTGATCAGCTTTTTTCATCAGCTTTCAAGTGTACCATTTCTTTTTATTATTGCTAATTTCGCTCCAGATTCTTTTTTTTCTCTATACCTGGATACCTGTTCTTCCTCTTTTATGCACAGACTATTGCTGAAACACACTATAGATGATTAACCTTCTCAGTTGACAATGATTAGTTCCTCAATGAAAGATCTCTATTTCTCCTTGTGTCTCTTCAGCCACATAACATCAGCCTATGAGGCATATGGGTTACAAGCAAAGCTTACAAAACTTTTAATTTATTATTTTATTTTCCTTGGCACTCTCTTTCCTGGTTTCCAGTAATGTCCTTTGCTGGAAGCAAAGTGCCTGAGAGGGGCAGCAGCAGACCTACCTGCTTCCAGAAATGCCAGTCCAAGGCAGAGCTCTCCAGCCACTGCTATTAGCTCTGTTCTGGTTAGCTCATCCTGATGACGAGCTCCAAACCATATGTAAAGAACCTAGGCTGAACAAAAATGGTAGAGATTTTGAACTATTTTGCACAAACCATTAGAAATCTGCTGCATTATCAAGGAACCCACACCTTCATTTCTTTCTCAAGTCAGTTTTATAGCGCTTTCGACCCATCTGCCGTGTTGACCAAACTTTCTGAATCTCATCTGGTTTCTCACGCTAGAATTCTCTTTTCTACTTCTGAGTGAATTCTTTCCCCTCAAATAGTTTTTTGTTTGTTGCTTCTCATTAGGTGGGATGTATCTAACCCTGTATTCAGAAGTGCAGGGTGGCCGGCTGTCTGGGCAAGATACTCCGTGCACTCCTTTTCGCCAGCGGGGAAAACTACACTGTATTTCCTTGCATCTGAAAGTAGATTTCTACCTATGGTTGGGCGAATCCTGCCTGAAAAGCATTTATTTTTGTATACTCCGTGCAAAACATGTCCCAAATAAGACTCTACACGTCACAGCTATATGGAGCTAGTGACATGAATCCTCAAAGACGAAGACTTTGTGATGCACTGGCACAGTCTCCTGTAGGTCATGTTCTTTAAGGGGTCTCTGCAGAGTAGTCAGTACTGTATGTACTCTTTAAATTATCTGCATCAGAGCCACAATGAAATCAATACTCAGGATGCAGGACTTTTATTTATAAATAAAAGTTTTGCCCGTAATGTATGAAATTAGAGTTTAACTGGCTCAAAAGGTGGCTGGCATATGGTAAAGAGGCCATGTTCTCTGGTTCCTGCTATATTAAATGCATCTTCTAGCTGAAAGAAAACAGTGATTATCAGAAAGTCAATTGTCATTCTGCCTCTTTAGAAAAATTCCCATTAAAGATAAAGCCAATTTTAATTAGATTAAGTATCCAATTACTGTAATTACATTTTTAAAAAATTCACATCATGAGGATGACCCTTTTAAAAAGGGTTACAAGAATAATTAGTGTATTCATATTAACCAAAATGTATTGGATAATATTTATACCCAGAAGGCAAAGTACATTACACATATTTCACCTTTGGGGAAAGCTTGCAAATGTTTTGGCAGTGGTATGAATATTTATAGGCAAGAGTGTGCTTTAGCAAGATTATATGAGAAAGCATTTATATGCTCACAAATTTTTACCCAAGGGTAAAGTACACATAAAATGTAGTGCAGAGATTATGGATATGCAAAGTGTGATTTAAGTGGGGAATTTATATCAGTTTAATTAATTGGAGCAGAAGACTACTTATTTTTGTGACAGAAGGGCCCAAAGATTTCAAGTTTGAGCTTCCTTTCTACTGATTACACCACAGAAGATGCAGGGAAAGGGTCTTCCTACTGCAAGCTAGCACGTGGACCAGAGGTTAAACCAAGCCCTTCAGGGTGTGCTCCTTATTGTTTATAAGCAATCCCATCTGGTACCTTGTACTATCCTAAATTTGGGGATTACCGGCACTATGTTAGGATTTGGCATTAGACCCTTCCCTAGGAAAAAACAAACTAACAAGGTGCTCAGGCTCTCTCTCCTGGCACCTGAGATCAATTCAGGCCGCAACGTTTGGCCAACTGGTCAACTGCAACATCTCACAAACACCCTCCATGGCCCCAAGGGCGAGACCAACGCTGCCTTCTTGGCGCCCGGTCCCTACCGGGGAACCACTGCGTGTTTTGTGAGCGAGTGGTTGTTAGGAAGCGGCCTGGTGACACTTCCACGGCTGGGGCCCACACTGTTGGCCTCGCCGCCTCGGCCTGCAGAGCTGCTCTGAGTAAAGAGAGTTAAACCCGGCCCTGGGGAAAACAGCTTGGTACAAGTGCAGTAATGAGTGTAATATAAATATACAAAGCCATAAAATTTAACTTGACGTGACTGGCAGTTTACTTGACGTGACTGGCAGTTTACTGCTTGAGGGTGTGAGAATGAACCAGTACAAACAAGGAGCTCCCCTCTTCACTCTCATCTCCTTTGTTCTTTTATTTTCTCACAGAGGCAACCTGAACAAATCTATTAGAAGACGTTCAAGCTGCCTCTCGAAGCCACGTGCCCCCTTGCGATTCAGGCGCTTATTCCCCATTCCCTGCACAGCCTCGCTACGGCGGGCAGGACTCAAAGACTCCACGGCGCGGGCCGCACCGCGAGCGCCGCCAGCGCCAACGCGCATGCTCGCGCGTGCTCAGAGCGCGCCGCGCGGGGGCGGGGAGCAACGGCCGCCTAACGGTCGCCCAACGGTCGCGCGCTCGGGGCCGCCATGGCGTACTCGGCCTTCGGGAAGGTGGCGGCCGTGTCGTGCCTGGTGCTCTGCGTCTCCCTGCTGCTGCCGCGCGCCTTCCTGCCGCGGGGCGGCGGGAGGCCGGAGCCGGGCGCCGCGCCGTCCGCCGCGCCCGCGCCGCCCGACGGTAAGAGAGGCCGCCGGGGCGGCTCGGTCCCGCCGCCATCCCCGGCCCGGTGTGGGGCTGGCCCCCGAGGCACCGAGCCCAGGCCGCAGGCTGAGCCGGGCCGTGGCTCGGCCGCTCTAAAGGGAAGCACCGGCTTTGAGCAGTGCAGCCGTGAAGTGGCAGGTGGCGGGGAGCTGAAGTAGTAGTGACGTTCTTGAAGTTAACGGAGTGAGTAGTAGTCTTGGGGACAAAATGCTTCTGAGTAAGAGATGCTTGGAGGTTACTGCAATTCGTTGGAATTGGGTGCTTATTCTCAGCATGGGCTTCGAACGTGGGAATGGCACTTCCTGTAGCAAAGCGATTTTCAGAAGTCTCTTTTGAGAAAACATTAAACCCAGACAGTGCTATGGAAGGTAGTATCTCCCAGACAGAGAGGGTGGTTTTCTCACCTATAATAGTTTCATGTATTTGTGATAAAAATCCTAACAACAAAAGACTGTGAATGTGCCACATTTCTAGTTGGCTTTTATGAACAGGTGTTTGAATTTTCCAAAAGATTAAAAAAGCTATTTTTTTGAAAAAGAAAAAAGTACTAATGACAACTTTCTAGACTATTTTTAGTATAGCCATCAAATGTATGCCATGCATTGTGGAAATCAGTGCTAAGCTGATAGTTTTACGAAAGCTTCTCAGCTCCAAGGCAATAGATTTGCAATCAGCTCATGTTTGTGAGAAGTGGCATCAGTTTTGCAAGAAAAATATATGATTGAGATAATTCTTTAGGCCAACATTTGCACAGTTTGTGCAATACATCACCTGTATGCAGGTGTCCCTACTTGAAAATTGCTGTTTAGGGTATTTCTTTGTGTTTTTCCCTTTTATCTGCCAGGTGCAATGACTAATTAAAATGTTTAAGATATTGAGTGTGTCCATTAAAAGCAGATGTGGTGGTTTAAAGTTAGGAATTTCAAATGAGCAGTCCTTTTAACCCTCTTTGAGTAGGTTTCTAAAGTTGTATTTTTCAAGTTTTTGGAATACAGAAAGAGCCATGCTGTAAATTTTGGAACAGGAAATGGATAAATGCCTATTATTTGTCTGAGTTCATCTTGATGTTACACTGTTACAAAGTTGGGGGCAGGAAAATAAAAAGAATTAAAATAGAAACATAGAACCTGCTCATAGAAAAAAATCTAAAACTAGGATGTAATATAAGTCAGATCAAAAAAAATGAACTTGTGACTTCCACAATGAACTGAATATGAAATTATAGTGTAATGAAAAGGACAAATTATTTGGATTTTCCACAGTAGCGAAGGGTCTAGGAAGAGTATTTAGGTTACATGCCAAGAAAAACATTTCCTCCTTGTAGATTGTTCCCAACAGTTATACTAAGCACAATGGTTACACAGGAAAATATAGAAGGAATATCCTTGTAGTCTAAACACTAGGGTGGGGTTTTTTTTTTTTTTTTTTAAATCATACAGTCTATGGATCTTGCTATATTCCCACATACAAATTTAGAACCCTTTGGCCAATTCTTCTGGGTTGGCAGAGGGATAGAAAGTAAATGTTTTATGAAAATACACTGCTAAGTAGGGGATAAAGAGCCTTGATAGACTATCTAGACTAAGAGTTGCTGTATTGGTGTGCAATAAGGAAGTCTAAATACTGTTATCAACTGCCAAGCTGAGCTCAGGAGCATTTCTTAAAATATTCTTATTAGATGGAATACATGGTATTAATAAACAGGCACTTGTAGTGATCTGACTATTACCAACTGGTTGGTTATTTTGTTCTTTATCATTTGATTGACTTTAGAGATTTTATTCTTTTAAACTTTGCTGTATTCAGTTGAGTGTTAATATTGCTAAAAGATGAAAAACTCGGTAATTCTAATGTGATACTGCTGTTAAGTAGGATTTCATATATATTCTGAAACCTACAGTCTCATAACTAGCAAAAGTATTAGATGGGGCATAATTCTGTTTTTTGGTCTTAAAGCTATTCATCGAAGAGATGGTATTAGGCAAAACATGCTCCTCTTGGCTTGTAGCTAGTTTGAAAAGCTGATGTGAAATGTTACTGACAAATCATTAAAAACTGTTACTTAGGGATAAAAGATGGTAAGAACAGGTAGGGTTCTGTAGGTGGAGCTAGCATGTTCACTAGTCAGATGGCTGCACTGACCTCAGCATTGGTGACCTCCTTCATGCAGGCCCGTCTGGCAGAATGCATCTCTGGTGCCTTTGGCCAGCACCTTCTTCTGCCAAAATGTGCTACTTACTAATTAAATCAGTGCGCTCCCATGTTACACTGGAAACAACTGTAGAGGGCTACTCCAAGCTGGCAGCTAGATAAAAAAAACAGGTTATCAAGTATATGGAGCAGTAAGTAATATAGTGGATTTCATGGGGGGGAGAAAAAGAGCTGAATTAATGATATCAAGAAAAATATTGCATGAGTGTAGATTTGTTGAGATCTTGGTACCTTTAAGCTGAAGAAAATAGTCCATACTTTACAGCAGCATTTCTTGCCCTTTGTGGTCCTTTGTTGTTAGCATCTGTGCATCTGCTTATGTTCACTTCACTTAAAAAAAAAAAAAAAAAAAACCAAAAAAAACCCCACCTCTGTACCTCTTAAATTAAGAAGATTTTTCTCCCCAAAATACTGAAATTGGTGTGGCCGAGGCTGTATGCGGTCTGCTCCCTTACGTTGCTCTATGCAGCAGTGTTTAAGGGAAAATAATTCGAGATACCACCATTTTTTTGTCTCTTTTATTACATATTGAGTGGAATCAAGTCTATGCTACCTATTTCTTACACCATTGACCAAGAGTCTGTGAGTGTGCAGCGGGCTGACACTGCAGTCGCGCATTGGTCCTTGAGCTAGGCAGGAGTGCTTGCGTTTGCACGCCCCTGCGCGATACTGAGGCTGCAGAGAGAAGGCACTGCCAGGAGCAGAGCAAATCTAACTGCCATGTGCTTTTTGCAGGGAAACTTGCTCGCTTTCCACCAAGGATGCATTACCAAGTGACGCCCGACAGCCGAGCTGCCTCTCCTTTTCCAAGGTCCCACCTTGCTGAAGCAGTTGCCAAAGCCAAGGCAGGTGGAGGAGGAAGCAGTGGCGGAACTGGGAGAGGTCTTGTGGGGCAGATTATCCCTATTTATGGATTTGGAATCTTCTTATATATCCTATACATTTTATTTAAGGTAAGAACAACATAAATTGAAAAGACGGGTATATCAACTAGAGCAGCCCGCAAACCTCTGTGCTAGTAACAGTTTTATATCTGGTTTCATTCCAGCCCTGTTTTAAACAAAACCAGAAAAAAACCTATTATTGGGACTGTCAGTGAAAAATTGGTGCACCATATGTTTTTTGCTGTTGCACATACTGTAATTAAGAATACAGCAAAAGGTTAATATAAACTGTATTACCTTTGACTCTTTACCTTTTTTTAGGATATTTTTTTCTTTGCAAAATGTGTGTCACGGTCATCTACATGGCTAAATGTGTGCATGTTCTATGTTAGATTGATTTCTAACACATGCCTTTTTTAGTAGGTATTATTGCATGTTATGTATGATGTATAGGCTATATACTGTATTATGCATAGAGTGAATACAACCACTAAAAAGCTTTTAGAACAAAAAGCACCACAGTCTTGGAGAATGGAGGTTTGTGAGGTTGTGTTACCCACTACTCCAGCTGGGGAGCTGGCTAAAAGCTGGTTTAAAATGCCAAATGCCTCCTCAAACGTTTCATACTTGCTTTTAACTTGACACAGCTTTGTTACACACACCTGACTTTTATGTAGTTAATTGTAGCCTGGAGATGAGAAAAAGGGTCTTTTTACAGTTGTTCTTCCCCAGCTGCACAAACTAACTGGGTTGTTCAGGAGGAAGGGGGACTAAACCTGGAGAAATGGTTGTTTTCTTTGAGTAAGGTTTGAATCCTGACTGACCAGTGCCTGAAAAGTTGAGTCTGCTCTGGTGAGTACGAAGCCCAAGGTCATAAAGAAGTGAAAGGAGAGAGTTGATCAAACACTCTCCACCTGTGGAGAGCAGAGGGGAAAAAAAAATAAGAGAGCTTGCAGCTTCTGTATAGAGCTACCCAGTATCTTTGCTGCAGGTTTAGCTTTTATGCAAAAAGGGTAAGGAAATCTGTAAGGAATAAATGGCAGAAAACATTGCAGGAGGGACAGGTGGGTCATATATATTACTTCAGAACTCATCATTTCAGAATAACTGCTCAATTGTCCCTTTATTAAGAATTACAAGATTGGACCCTTTGGTGCAACAGATGTGCATTTAAAATGATCGTGTTATATATAATGGGTTATGCTTTCATTATGTTCAAAAATACCATTCATTCCACCTTTCTTTTAGGAATTTTTCAGTTAGCAAGACTTTCTAGGCATCTTTCATGTCTTTGCTACTTCATCTATGCATCCTTCATATGTTTTTACTTCTTGGGGCTCTAGGGTTATTTTCTAGCATAATTTTAGCTTTTGATCTTTGTTTTGCTGTCTTTGTGGCTTATACACCGCTATTGTTTTAACTCACATGCATTTCCACTTACTAGCTGTCTTCCAAAGGAAAAACTGCAGCTGGGGAGCGGAAATGTCCTCCTGCTGTACCTGGAAACATGAAGAGGAAAATCAGTAAGTATTATTGCTAAGTTGCATCCATGTAGCTGTTTACTCAGGAAAGTTGCAGTCTGGCCAGTGTTTTCAGCTTTTGGACACACTATAAAAGTGCATTTCATCCCAATAAAGAGAAAGCCAGAAACTTCTGTGTTAGAGTGAGCACATGTGAAAGTGAATTTCTGTACCATTAAAACCCCATCACTCCTGGCTAATGAGAGTCTGTGACAGCAGCCCTTGAAGCACTCTTGGAACCCTGCACTGATTTGCTGAAAAGCTAAAGTAGTAACTGAAAATGGAAGATGTCAGTCTATAATTATGTTATAATTTATATTCTAATAATAATGTATAGAATTGTTATTAAAAGCTAGTTTCATTTTTGGAATTTCAGAATTCATTGTCATCCTTAAGCTTTTCACTGCCTATTTTCCCCCTTTTTTTATGTTGTTCAAAGTTTTCGTGACTAGAACGTAAAGACAGGAGGCAGCATTCTGAAATGCTTCAGAAATTAATAAGTTTACTCTTAAAAATTGTAGAGTAGTTACCATAACAGTATTTAAATATGTTGTGTTTAGTGGCTAAATTCTAATAATAAATAAAAGTACATAGGCTTTATAGAAGGTGCTAGCAGTAACGTAATGCTGTTAACATAGCTGTAAGGATCTTGTCATGAATGCTTATACTGGAATATGTGGTAGCTGCTGCAGTCAGCGTTCTAGATTGTATTTTTAGTGCCCTTACACTGTATTGAGCCCGGCAAATTTATCAAAATTGTGAACATTGCTAGTTGTAATTTATTCCACCTTTACCTTATTTTACCTTCAACCTCGAGGGTATCTGCAGTGTCCTGAGCATCTCAAGTGGCAGCTCCAAAGCTACTGAAGGGTGATGCTTTCCTTGCCCCATTGCCTAGGGTACCTGGAAAGAAGAGTGTAGCATATGCTGCTTGTGACAACAGAACAGGAGACATTTTCAAAGCTCCCGTTGATGCATTTTGTTTGTTTTACAGCTGACTATGAGCTTGCCCAACTCCAAGAAAAACTGAGAGAGACTGAAGAAGCTATGGAAAAACTGATCAACAGAGTAGGACCTAATTGTGACAGGTATGTTTCAAATCATAGCATTTTAAAGGAGGATTCTTATGTGAATAGAAGTGATTTTTTTTTTTTACAGGAAAAAGGAAAGTACTTTGTGCAAGAGTAGTAAAAAGTAAAAATACTCACCCTCAGATAGTAATTGTATTTCTACTTCAAAGTGTAGGAACTTGGGTTTACTTGAATTTTTTTTCTGTTCAAAATAAAACATTCTTTACATTTTCATTTCCTAAAGCAGAAGATCAGCTATCCCTGCCACCTATTTTATGTATTGTGTTATTTAGAAGATAACGTCAAGAATATCTAAACTGAAAATAAAACGTCTGTATTTGAAGTGTATAAAACAGCCTTTCTTATGTGGTCAGAGTAATTTTATGGATGAATCCTGAGTGAAACACTTCTTATTTTCTAGTGCCATAGATTTTTTTAAAATAAAAAAGCTGTTATATTATTGCATGTTAATCTGGTTCTGTAACTTAATTCCAACCTTGAAACCAGTAAATCCATGTGTTTTCTACTAAATAGGAAACAAAAGAGAGAGGTAAAATCAGAATTCTAAATTTTTTTATTAATGTTTGCTATAAATCTCAAATAGAGAACTTTACATTATAAGTAAACATTGGTAACTTTGTATTTTTAATAAGTGTATCAAGACCTCAATGGGAAAATTCATAACTCCAGTGTTTCAAAACGTTAACGCCACAAAAATCAAGGTGAAATTTGACAAAGATAGCTCTGCAAACTGCAAAGCATATTATGTTTTTCTGGATCACTCAATTCCTGGTTTTAATTGTTCTATGGGAACAACTCTGTGCTAAGCCTAAACTTGGATGCTATGTTTATTTGTGCTCTAAATGCTGCTCTCCTAGAATATGCAGTTTTGGCTCCCCTGCACTGGTAGTCACTATTGTGGTTGTATTAGCTGAGGTGCCAACCTGTCTGAACTGCAGGAATGTAACCCTAAGGCTACCCTGCCTTTGCAAGTGAAACGAGGATGCTACTTTGACTGCCCTTATTTACCTGTATTTGGAGAGCTCGCACTTCTGTGCTACGTGATATGTTTATCTGTAGGCTGCCAGAAATGGGCTTCCCAGATACAGTGTTTGCTGTGAGAATAGGCTATTTTTTATTGTGAAAATGGGTTTAGGTGTGATCCAATATTTGCTTCATTCAGGGCAAATGGCTCAGAATTTTTATTTAGTAGAACTTCTTTGTTCCACCAAACTATTCACATAGGTGGCACTAGAGAGCTGGGGGGAAACCAAGTGCTGAAATTAATGCCAAATATTGTATGCAGTTGTTCTTTTTAAAAGGGGGGAGGGGAGGAAATCCCAACCTCAAGATGAAGCAAATACCTGATTTCCAAATGCAACCACTCTTTGAAGCTTTGAGTCTGAACTCAGAAGGTAATTAAGTTCAGTGGTACTCGATGAATGCCTTAAAATAATATATATAATTAAAAAGCATAATTAGAGCACAAAATTCAGTGCTAAATTTAAATTAAAATGGAAGAAGAGCATGAAAATTACTTGTGCTCCATTTATTAATGTGCAGTTAAAAATCTTTATAATGAAAATTTCAAAGAAAGAAACAACTGGTATTAATTTTGCCTTAATTCCTAAAGGCCCGAAGTGAAGTCACAGACCATTATGCTAAATATGGCAAAAATGACTTTCTGCCAGGTAAGTATCAGAAACAGAAGTGTGTTTTTTTGTTGTCACAAACAATGACATATGACTGTAACATACAGCATTTGTAGTAGTGCTGAGATCTGAGCTTCTCTCCTAGTTATACTGTAGGATATCTTCTCTCAGCTGAAAGGGGTCAGGGTTTAGGTTGGGTTCCCCTTTCTGTTGAATTCTTTGAATCCAAAGATACTCTTAATTCTGTATATTTTGTCAACAAAAAGTTTCTGTTGAGTTCCGGTGAGTTTGGAATGACCATTGATTCTCAGATAATGTCGTACCATAGTAAGAAATCTGTTTTGAAGGAATTACTTATGCTTTAGCCTGGATTTTTTTACCCTGCTTTCCTCTGCTGTGTCTGTAGTGTTTTCTTGCTGTGGCTTGTCCTGTTTCGGTATCGTAATTTCAGTGAAGTGATGCTAGTTCAAAGCCTCTCAGTACTATTACCCATTTAGGCAGAGGGCACAGTATCACCTAGGAGAGAGGCAGGCAGGAACTGGGATCTGCTGGACCAAGCCTGCTTGGACCAGACTTGAAGACCTTTCAAACCAACACACCAGTTGCAATTGCTAAAGCCCCAAATACAGAAGTAGTCCTTGCAGAAATGGATAACTTTCAAAGAGCACAAATGCAAGGATTTTTACTTAGGACTAGCAAGTTTTAGCAAGGACTAGAAGCAGAGTACAGACAGAGCTAAGAAGGAAGAAACCTTCAGTAGGTACTCAGTAACATAACAATACCTAAACTAAGAGAAGGACAAAGATAATTGTTCTGTAACATGCATGCTTATGTGGATAGTACACAGTACTTAGAACCGAACACCACATCAACTCAGAGCTTTGAGAAAAATTTGTATCGTTCCCACTTCTTTTTTCAGTAGATTATGAATTTAAATTATGAACATTGCATCCTGTCAGCATGGCGACCTTACTATCTCCAGTTTCTGAACACAGACCTTCCTCATGCAGGACCTATCAGCAGAGATAAGAATCCTTGCTAGAATTTTTGATGATTCAGAAGTAGAGACTGGATTGATGGGTGTGCAGGGTGCTCTGCACTAAAAGCATGCAGCATATTGCTTTCCAGGCTTTTAGCAGAAGACTTGAGGCAGTGATAAAACCAGTGTAAAAGCTTTCCCTACCCATGTCACCCGTATAATTTTCATCGTTCACCTTAAAGTTTGATCTGTTTTGAAACCACTTTAAACTGAAGAGCGTTTACAGCTATTTCTCTGCTTCTCTTGGAAAACACTCTCTTGCAAAGAAAATCTAAACTTCCACGAATTATATAAAAGGTTAAAAATAATGCAGCTCCATTGCCTGTTTTCGAAGCCCTGCTTAGCAGGCTGACATTTTGAAAAGAAAGCTTAGCTTTTTTACCATAAACTGAGCAAATGTAAAATTGAAGTTATCAAGCAATAGATATATAGTACTCTGTGGTGCAATGTTTTGCCTATACTGCTTTTTAGTGGTGATTTTTTTAAGACCATGAAGCAAAAAAATGCCAGTTGACATGTCAAGTCATCATGCTAGATTTTCATTGCAATCATAATAGCCCTTTAGGAAGTGTTAGAATTTCAGTGCAAGAATCAGAAAAAAATACTGTATCTATTAGTGAGTACTTTGGGACTCTACAAAAGCAATGTGTGCATCATCAACACTATGAAAAGTAATAGTTCTTTTTGGACCTGAAACACACCGCAGAAATGTTAACCTTTTCTTACATCATGAACCTTTTGCAGCCCTTGTCCCATTACTGTGTTCGTAAGTGCATTATCCTCACTAAATCACCCATACAAAGCCAACCAGACAGGTCTTGAATGTCACCAGACCAGTATGTCTTACTAGAAGCCTTAAATGAAGTAGTAAAATGGTGTGGGTTTCAATTTTTCTCTCTGGATTGGGAATTTCCTTTTGAAGAAAGAGAGCTGGGGTCAGAAAAGGATTCTGAAATACAGAAACCTTGTGTTCCTATAGGAAAGTGGTGCTTTCTGGTGAGAGCATGTGGTGAATTAGGAATTATCCTCTGTGAAATGTCAGTTAGGCAGCTTGCATTATTGATTCCATTAGCAGAACTAGCATCTCCATGCTTTGCTAAACAGACAGGACTTCAGTGCCTGTCTGTCATTATGTAGGTGATATATAATCAAATTACATACATTTTTGTTTCTAAAAGGAGTAGTTTGGCAGTTCTATGTGAAAACTGTCAGTTGTTCTGTACAACGAACTACTACAGTAACAATGATTCCCATGGCAATCTCCATAAGGATTTGGGACTAGATAAGAGCCTATGAAAATGCTGAGTAGCAATCATACTGCATCCAGGGTTTCTTCAAAATGTGCTAGTGAGAGTGAGCTCCAACTCCGACTTATCACTTACTGGCTTTTGGTAGGAGTGTGCTGCATTCTGATGTGTAGTATTTTCTAGCAGAACTCAAAATGTAACAACAGACCAAGAGAAAAGGTTGCTTCAGCAACTCCGAGAAATTACCAGGGTTATGAAAGAGGGAAAATTCATAGATGGCATCTCTCCTGAGAAGGAAGCTGAAGAAGCTCCCTACATGGAGGACTGGGAAGGTAAGGAAGACCTTTCTTGCTGTTATCCTGAAGAAAAAGTTGGCTCAGGACTACTTTAGCACCTGCACCCTGTCAGAATCCATTGTCTCAAAATCCATTTGCTTTTATGGCTGTGAAAACAATGCTGCTCTTGCAAAGTTTTAACAGTCCCTTTTTAAAAGAAAGGGCAAAGTACCAGAGACATCTACCATTTTGTACTGTGTAAATACCACACTGCCTGCTGCCAGTAATAGTACGTATGCTCTACCTGCTGCTAAGCCTTGGTTGTTGTAGGGTTATGTCTTTCCATTGCCTTGCTGGGTCAGATTTCATATAAAGCCATAAAACTTGGGAAATGAGAATCAATGTCTTTTGCAGCTTACAGTGTTTTTTTTTTTTTAATTTATGGTTCTTTGCTTCAATAATGCAAAAGCAAACTCTAGGAAGTCACTCAAAATCTATTTCTCCTTGTTTCCTTGTTATATAACCATTTTAAAGACATCACAATTCAACTGTAGCCTTTACAATTTTAAAGGCATCTTTGCAGATGTGAATTTCTTGTTACAGCTTTCAAATATGTTTCAAAACATAAAGCATAAACATTCCCCCTGGCCTTGATTTCTTCATGATGTGTTCTCTAAAATGAAGTTTTAGATTGTTTGGATCTGTTTTTCCAACTTTATATATAAATGATGCTGTTTATAGGTAAAATCTTCCAATTTTAATCAGTCATTCTGTAGACAGGAACAAAAATGCATCTTTTTCAAACCTAAGCGTTGCTTTTCACACCAGTTTCACCAGTTAGCTCCTCCAGCTTTCCATAAAGCTCAGGCATTAACTCCTAAAAGTCTGGGTTCGTTCTTTTAAAGTGAGTGGAATTTTGCAGTCATCTTCCAACGTTTTGTATATTCTTGGCACAGCATTAAATTAGTTATACGGTCAATATGAAAAAAAAGTTTTTACTAAACTTGTGCACTTGTCACTTAAGTTACTACTGCTTTTAAATTTTGTTCATGTTTCAAGCTGCCTGTCGCTTTATTCTTAAGGTTATCCAGAAGAGACCTATCCTGTCTATGATAATTCTGATTGCCTCAAGCGCAAACGGGACACGATCCTTGTAGATTATCCTGACCCAAACGAGCCCTCTGCAGAGGAGCTGGCAGAAAGAATGGAGGCCTTTGACGCTGAGGCTTACCTGTGCAAGGAGAGCCTGCTCTCGAATCTCGCTGTGGGGAGCAGCGGCCGCAATGTAGGGCAGAAGATGAATGAGGTAACCAGCATCACTGACCAGGGCAGGGACCTTTGTGGCAGCCTGGACTTTGAGGAGAGCTGTTACCACTGCGAGGAGGACAGCGATCCTGCTGTCTTGGCAGAGAATGCCGGGTTCCTCTCGGAGAGCTGCAGTGAAGCAGAAGAGCCAGCCAGGGAGGACCTGTCCGGGGAGTCTGATGATGAAAACATGGCACCGAGGGAGCAAAAAGTCAGTGATTCAGATGAAACAGGCACCCTGAGGAAGCGCAACACAAAAGCACTTGAGTAACAGAGATGTGTGGACCTGCTCCTCAATGGTGACTGTAGAGGTCCTAAGCTGTCTTTCATGTAGGTTTTTGTTCAGAAGTTCCTGTTTACTTTCATCTTGTACTAATTCCATTCCGACAGTGGTGATCATATCATCTGCTTCCTGAAGGAGAAGCCGGTGCCCTCCATGATGCAGTCTTTTCGTGGTTCATGCTGCCTTGCCAGGAGCGCTTGGCCTTGCTTTTCAGAGGCTGGTGTGGGGGAGTGGGTTATGCTCTTCAGCTAGCTGCTGATTCCTTTGTCGTTCCTGAACAATCACTTATTTCATTTGCTGTTGTCATCCAAGAGCTAACTGAATCTCTTTTCTGATAACTGTCTGTGTGTTCCCTTATGAAAATGTATCACTATATATTTAGGAGGTTTTTAGGAGGAAATACGCTTGCTTTCCATTACTTGGATGTTAAATGATGAGCCGACAGAATGGACCATGGTCACAGGAGTGCTACTCAGTTGTTACTGCTTCTGTAAACCAGAAATGGTTGTCACTGCAATCCACATACTACCAGAGCTTCCCAACATAGCTACGTGCTACAGGAGCTGAAGTTTAATTTAATTGACTTTGTATCCTACAAATGAGAGAGCATGAAGTGTTAGGAGTTGTGCATTGTCTCTGCTGCGGCCTTTAGACTGCCTGGCAAGATGTCAAGATGAGTGCAGGATCAGACTGTGATCTGTGTTATGGAAGGCTACTGAAAACACCCCTGGGACTTGGAGAGCGCCAGCAGTGTATTGAACAGCCTATTTGAATGCAGGTCATATGGCCTGTTTAACAAATTACATGTAGCCACAGGGTAGCAGCTTTATTCTTAGGGTCACTCCACCACAGCCTGGGTGTGTTTGGAAGGACAGTGTCTTGGCTTACGAACTCACAGGCTGAGATCAATGCCTGCTGCCTTTGCGGTGTCTATAGAGAATCCTACTATAAAAACCAGGCCCCACTAAAGGAATAGGGAAAATAACAGAGAAAGTGTACTGAATATTTAGCCTGTTCTATAGGAACATATTTATTTTTAAATCATTTGATAAACCAGCTTTTAACTGACACAAGTCACTGGAATGAAAGCTGTTTGTTTCATACTACTTTGCCTGCTAATACTGTCATATCCCCGCAAATGAAGACTTTCATCACAAGCTTCTCTATCGACATCCCTGCTCAGGCAGACATTGTCCTCATTGGAAAATGACATATTGCTACCTTGCTACCAGAAGAGAGCTGTTGAAGGCCTGCCTTTACTCTGCTGCAAATAAATAACCATGTTCTCTTCCCCTCTGAAAACAGGCTCACTGGTTAAATACTCCTAAAAGCTATATGTGAGGAGAGACTGAGTGAGGAGACCGGTGGGATGACAGCATTCCTGGTCCTTCTGCAGTAGGAAAAGTGACACTGGTGCATGACTTGCCAAGCATATTGCCAGGTACTATGTGATAAACACACGACAAGGCTTCTGCGCATGCAGCAGCAGCAGCCCAGCCCCCCTGCCATGAGAAACACGGAGGCCATCTCATTTCTCCAGCAGCTCACAGACAAAAGGACTTAATTACAGAATTTGTCATTATCTGCAGCTATGTGGTTATGTACTTCAGATTCCTGCTGCTTATAAAGGTATGTGAAATTAAAGAAGTTCACTGTTGTTATTTGAATTTGTGCTCCAGGATTGCAGTATATTTTAAAACACATAAAAAATATGGTAAACATAGAATGTAAAGGTAAGATAGCATATTCAAATGGATATTTCAATATATTAATAAGTTAAAATATAATAAATTGTTTTGAGTAACAAAGCTCATAGTCCAAAGTGCATTAACCATGGAAGTACTGCAGCATGCATCCAAGTTTTCATGCTGGTAAGGACTGTGTAACTTAGTGTGATGCTCAGCAAACCACTGTTTGCAGGGATTGTGCTACACTTTCTGCACAAATGTGGGGTACAAGGCAATGTGTATGTTGCCATTTCCAGTGGCTACACTGGACTTGGAAGTCTGGACTTCCAAGGACCTTAGCAAAGCTAAATACAGAATTCAGCGCTCACCTGAGAATCAGTTTGACAGGCTACCGGGCACACCAGAGACACTGAGCACTGGAGTAAAACAACAGAAATATTCCCATCACAATCAATAAAAAAGCCAGTGAGCCCATACTAAAACATTAGAATTAGTTTTAGTCATTAGCAGAATTAGTCATTAGCAACTCTTTCAATACTTGCAGTACAACTAAAGGCTTTTTTCTTTTTCCTTTACTGCAGCAGGAAGAAAAAAAAGTGATGCTAACGCAGGTTGATTGGTGCCAATCTAAACAGCTCAGTCACTCTCCCATCTCCATCCACGGTACCAGTAAGTGCTGTTTGAACTGAGGCATTTACGCCTCAGATACCTCACACTGCACTTTACCAGCAGCCTTCAAACCGACCAGTCCTCTTCCTGCTTTTTCCTGGCACTCTTCTTTTGTTTGCTTCATTCTTTCCCTTTCTCAAACAGAAACACATACTACACAAGCATTTTAAAATGCTTATTTTATACCTTCTCTCACAGGTGTGCGAGCATTCTTAATGATTAATCACTTATTCTTAGAATAGGAGACAGTATTTGAAGAACAGCTTATTTGGATCAAATCAGCAGTCCACAAAGAACTTACCAGCTCCTAGTCTGGGTAAATCAAGATCAGAACAGAACATCTGCAAGCCAGGACCCCACAAAAAAACTTCAGTAGCTCAAGTGGACTTCCAGTAAATTCAGTCATGCTTAATAAAAGTGCATGCTCCTTATATTATTTCCAAGCTAGCAAACTAAATAGCTACACATTTAATTATACATTTTTGTTACAGCTAAAATAAATAGTGCATGTTGTATAAATTAAATAGTTTAATATAAATACTTGCAGTCTTATATATTTTTAAAATAATTTTATGTTTATAAACTTTATATATAAAATTTTGCATTTAGGGGACTTTTTTTCCACTCGCGCACCATTATCAAAACGCTGTTTCTGTCTTCATTTACCACAAAAGCCCAGTGCCAGCACCAGACAAGACAGCCCAGGTAAGGGTTAGAAAGTTGTCCATTGCTCCGTGTTCTTTTAGCAAATACATATTTCAGAGGATACAAATGCAACATGAGATCTCATATTCCTTGTACAAATACAGCAGGAGAGGCTGGTCTAGAGACCTCTTTTTCTTACCTTGTGACCTTCCCTGGCGTTAGGGGAGGCCCAGGCTCCTGGGGAGCCCGCGTAGGCACGTGGCAGCGCGCTTGTTTTCTCGCGCCGTCCAGACGTCTCGTGCATCCCTCAGGTGCCGGGCCCGATGTGCGCAGCGCCTGGCACGGCGCGGGAGCCGCTCCCCGGTGCTGCGCTGTCCCGGCAGCGGCTCCCCCGGGGAAGCGCAGCGCCTCCTGTCCCCCAAGCGGCTGAGGTAAGGGGGCCCGTGCCAGGCTTCACCCGCCTGGCGGCTGGAAAAGGGCCTGGCTCCTCTTTGCTGCACTTTGAATTATTGGGGAACAGATGACTTATTTTTGCTTTCCGGGAGCAAAATACATAGTTGAAGGGTGGATTTTTTTTTTCTTGTATTTGTGCAGTTGATTATTCCTGCCTAAATATATTCTTGGTTCTTATCCTACTGACTTATCCTCATAGGTTTTTCTCAAGACCATTTTGCAGTCTTGTTTTGCTAAGCAAGTAGGCCAAAAATTCAGTCCTTAACAACAGGTCGGATTGGAAGGAGTTCAGTTAGAGCTTTCAGAAAACAGCACTGAGGTAGCAGGTACTGCAGCAGTAGAGAACTAAGACAGCAAATAAGCCGGGCAGTTACTTGCCCTGTGTTCATTAGGAATCTCAGGGGCCGCTTCGTAAAAATGAGCAAGGGCAGGATTTCTACACTGTGCGTTAATGTCAAGTACTTGAACTCAAGAAAAATGAAAATGTTTAGAGATCTGGTGAAGTCAGGGCACTTAGTACTGGACTGATACTAGCTTTTTTTACCGATATGTTTTAATTTTGGAATTCCTGGTAGCATTAAACCTTAGAAAAACTGTTGAGCAGTAGTGGAAATGCCTTAGGATAACAACCCTCCCATTCCATAGGGGTAATTTATTAAGGTATTTCAAACCTGCTGTGGGGAAAGACATACTAGTTTCAAACAGATTGTTTAATGTGTCTGCACAGATATTCTCTGACAAACACTGGAACCTCTACGTCATGCACAGTGCACATTTTGTGAAAATACAAAATTAATGCTTGCATGTGCTGGTAAATGCATTTCCTCCAGAATTTTAAAGAATTTCTTAAAAAAACATAAAAGGACATTCTTGCAGGTTTATCTAAAAATTCCATATAATTCTGAAAAAAAAGGAGATGTATCAGAACAGGACACGACATTTTTTTCTCAGTTTTGTTATTTTCTTCTTTTAAATCCCCATGTAGTTTAAATGCACTCTTATCTGGTAACATTCTACTGTATATCATATATGATTTATTTAAAAAAAAGTGAGGGATTAGAAAGTGTTCATTGTGGGAGAAGAATTTTTAAATTTTACATTTTCATTTTATTGGGACAGAAACATCTACATGGACCTGCATTTTCTATTTCTAGAAATTGAACTACAGAAGAAACAAAGCAGAGTTCTTCTCAATAGGCTTGTACCATCCCAACAAATTCTAAAATGCAGCTGCTCCCCCAAAAATGGATCTTTCAAGCTGTCATTAGTTGGATGAAAATTGGGTGGGAACCAGGCAAGGTAATTCCCTGGGGATATACGGGGAATTTTCGAAACTTAACTACCGCAGAAGTGTTATTTTCTGAGGTAGCCCCAAGGGGCCAACCAACTATAAAACATACTCCACAGACTTTTTTCTTTCCTGCTGTTCCCTTATGTTTGTGACGAGAAACTATTCAAATAGCAATAGTAAAAAATCTCAGTTTTAGAATAACATGCATACAGATGGGCTCATCGCATGGCTCAACCCACAAGTCAACTCAAAGGAGAAACAGATGATTGTCTATATTAAATACAGACACTTTTGCAGAGCACATGTAAGGGTTTATTTTTTTAAAGAAACTTCTCCACAGGAAGATTTCACCTCTTCAAAAGCTATTTTAAAAAGGGTTTCAAGAGACAGAGTCTCTTTTGAGACTCTGCAATAGCTAGCTTCAAGCCAAAGTACTATAATTATTTATAGTGTCAGTGTGAACAGTGGAAACAAAGCCTGATTAATCCCTAGATAACAGCAATGGATTTTTTTTAAGACTATATATACACATGTGTACATATATTTGTGTACTCTGCACATACATTTGCACACAATGTTGGAAATATTTCCAAAGCCATAAATTAAACCTATTCCTAATATTGAGGATGCTTACCATACTGTATATGTGTGTGCCCCTTTATATGACCCCCACATGATCTTTGTTTCATGTCAGCAAATACAAGATTTATTATTTAAAATTTTTCAATCATAGGAAAATATTTTTTGCACTCTTAAAACAGTTATGAAAGTAACAAAGGTCAAATAGTCACCTTTTCTTTATAATTTAGTGGAACCAGCAATTTGTTTTTTTTTTAATGTTACTTGGCGATTATTATGTGGGACAGTTATTCAGTATGAGTCCTTAAATGACAGACAACTGTTAACAGTGTTTTCTCTTTCTAAATGTCAGGTTGCAAATAACACCCTAGAATTTTAAGGCACATTTTATAAAAGAATGTCATGTTCTTTGCTGACAGATTTGTATAACCCCTTTTGATCTGAAGGATGCTTCATAGGCTGTGCTTAAGAGCAAAATTTGACCTCCCTTCCAAATCCCCTTTAAGAAACAGAGGAAAACTCATTAGGATGACATGCAACTACAGCCTTATGGGGACACAACAGAGGGTTGGGGGGGAGGCAGTTTCAGTTATATCAGTGGGATTTGCATGAGGTACTAAAGGGAACCAAATGTGTGAAAAGGGCCCCATGAAGACATTGACACACACAGCTGTTTCTAGAAGAGAAGCAAGGAGTGCATTGAAGAGTTTTTATCAACACACCATAAACCAGAAACCAATCGTCAGTTCCATTACTTGTGCCAAAGGATGCAAAGTCTCTGGCAAGAAGTCTCCCTGCTGTAACCCCTTCTTGCCTTCACATTGCAGGTCCTTACCATGTGCACGTGTTGGTTTTATGTAACATCCCCTGCTGAGCCCTTCTGGGCACAGGGCTGAATCTAGTGCAAATATAACAATAATAGTAATAAAAGTTACCTTGACACACAATATAAACACCGGAAAATTTCAGCTGACTTACAAGAGCCACAGATCCCAGTTTCTGCCCTCAGGAGGAGCCATTTCTTCAAT